CGCGGCGTCGACGGCGTCTCGATCGCGACCGCATCGTTCGCGACGTCGAGCGTCGGGCGATGGCCGCGCGCGCGTCCGATGGCGCCGTGCGCGTGGTCCTGCGCCTCGCGCGGGAGGGAGCGACGCGCGACGTCGTCGTCGACGCGCTCGATCGTCGCAGTACGATCGGGGAGGTGAAACGGCTCGGGATGGCCGACGCGGGATTCGCCGAGGCGGTGGGCTCGGCGTCGGACGCGGTGGTGATTTACGGCGGGCGCGTGTTAGGGGACGACGAGACCGTTTGGGAGACGATCGCGAAGACGACGCGCGGCGTCGCGCGGTACGGCGTCGACGGCGGACGAAGCGCGGGCGCGTCGGGGGCGGGGACGACGATGGACGACGACGGGGTGGAGGAGTACGTCTTACACGTCGTGATTCGGAGAGCGCCGGAGGAGACCGGGGGGGGGGGGCCGACGTCGGCGGAGGCGAAGACGACGGATGACGACCCGGGTGCGGCCGGGGACGAACGATCGGGCGGCGCGACGGGTGCGGACGCGGCGGCGCGGCGCGACGGGGCGAACGGCGCGAACGCGTCGCCGTCGACGAGTTCGCGAGACGACGCGCGCGGACGTCGAGACGCGGAGGACGGACGGCCTGGTTTTGACGCGAGAGATCCGGGAACGCCCTCGGTGTTCGCGAACGCGGTTCCACCGACGCCCGCGTCGACGCCGACGTCGGCGTTCGCGCCGCGCGTGAGCGCGCTTAATCTCGCGGTGAGTCCGTTGATAAACGCGACGTACCAGGCGGCGTACCACGCCGCTTTCGCCGCGCTCTCGCCCGGGGGCGCGGCGACGTCTCCGGGTCCGCCCCCGCTCGGTGAATTCAGCGACTTTTTGGCGACGGATCCGCGAGGAGATGGCGACGGTCGCGTGGTAGCGATGGATCGAAGGCGCGCGGACGCGCGCGTCGATCACGGTCTGCCGCCTGAGCTTAACATTCCGCCCGGCGCTCGCGTACGAGTGGTTCACATTCGCATCGATTTGAAGCTCATCTTGAAGCTCATCGCTATGACTTTGTTCTTGTCTCAAGACGCGAGCGCGCCGAAAGTGATGTTGTACGTCGCGCTCGCCGTCTTTGTCTACCTACAACAGACAGGTGCGCTGAATCCGCTCGCCAGGAGACTCGCCGGAGAGAACGCAGATAGAAACGGACAAAACGGTGAGCCGGGTAGAGAGGGCGCACGCGAAGATGGAGGTGCGAACGGTAACGGCGAGAACGGTCAGAACAATCGCGTTTTCGTTCGTACCAGGGCCACGCACGCCGCGGGATACACGGCGATGCCGCAGTCCGCCCTCGGCGAGGTGAAGATTTTTCTGTACAGTTTCGTAGCGTCAATCTTTCCTTCTTGGTTGCCGCCTCGACTTCACGAGGTGCGCGATGAAAGACCGCACCGAGATTAACGCGCTCTGTCGAGTTCGCTCGCTCATACTGTCAATCAAATGTACTTACAAGAAATGTCTAATCTCTATATATCAACTACCTGTGAGGCAGGTGCATCCTGCCTCCGTTCGACGCATACGTTTTATTATACGCCGCCTTGGAAGCCGAACGCGGCGACAGCGATGTTTCAATTCCCAACTCGAGCTGCGAGTCTTCGCGATGGATGGCGAGCGACTTTTCGAGCCTATCAGCCGGCATCGGCGCCTCCTTCAACTTGCCACCCATGTACCTCTCGTACGCGTACCAAGCGACGCCGACGGAGTTCAATCCGATTCCTAAAATGTTCAATAATCCAGTGTGCACGTGGAACACGACGAGTCCGACCAGTCCTTGAAATATAGACTTGGTCCTCCCGACTACCGAGGTCGTCAGCGCGTCGTTCAACTGCGTGCACAGATACGTCGCGTAGTTCAACACGAACGCGCTCGAGCACGAGCACACGAACGCCAAGACGAATCCAATCTCGGTCAAGTGCGGGTATTTTGCCAGGGCCCGGTGCTCGCCGCACACCAGCATCAGCGCCAGACTCAACGGCGCGCTCCACATCGAGTTGTACAGCAGCAGCGTGAACGAGTCCACGTTGAGCTCGTTCCCGATCTTCCCCACCAAAACCACGTACATAGCGGTGCACAGTGCGCTCGAAAGCGCGACGAGATAGCCCCAAAACGTAAACTCCAGATCCCCCGTCCCCGCCAGGACGCCGCCGAGCGTCGTCACCCACACCGCCGCCTGCACCCGCGCGCTCGCCACTTTCCCCAACATCGCGTAATCGATCAACATCACGAACGGCGTCGTCGACGACTTCAACACGCCGTACATCGGTATGTTTATCATCGACAGCGCCTTCATGTCGAGCACGAGCTTGGCTTGAAACGCCGCGCTCACCAACCCGACGCGTCGGAACGCGCGTCCGTCCAATCGCCCTCGCCGCACCCCCGTTTCCCCGCCCTCCGACCGTCGTATGACGCCAAACCTCTCCAGGCACACGATCGCGCACGCCGTGAACGCCGTCTGCGCCGTGACCAGCGTCGCGGGCAGTCGGAACGCCCACACCGCGAAGATCGCCTTGTTCAGAAACACCGTCGCCACCGACGTCGCGGCGTAGAACGCCGCCGCGGACGCGCCCCGTCGTCGACGCGCCGCCGACGCGCGCGCGCGCGCGGGGCTCATCGGCGCGCGCGCGATCGCGCGCGCCGCCGCCGTCGATCTGGCGCGCGTCGGGGTCGATTCTTTCCGGAGAGTCTCTCGTTTCTTGAGTCATGACTCGTGAAACGCACACGCGGGGTCTTCGGCGACCCATCGCCGGCGACGCCCGCGCCTCGCACGTCGCGACGCGCGCATCTTGGGTAAACACGAACCTGGTAGGACGTGATGAAAGTAAATCACCCGAGCTCGCACATTCTTCGTGCAAAACGTTGTCGTGATTCGCTCGCCCGGTCACCACTCGCGTCGGCGGCGACGCGCGACGGCGCGGCGACGGGGGACGACGTGGACGCGAGAGAAGCGCGCGACGGCGACGCGCGACGACGCGAGCGCACTTCACGCGCGTCCATGGGGTACATACGCAATCGGGACCTCATAGCGGAGGACGAAGCCAATCGAGCTCGCATCGATGAAGCCGCGCGTCGTCGAGAGGGAGACGGAGGGAGCGCGTCGATGCGCGCGCGCGGATCCGAGGGAGATCCCTGGGCAGAGTACGCGGCCGCTGTCGAGAGGATGATCTTCGAGAATCGCTCCGCCGGTCAAAAGCGACGTAGAGCCAGGGAAGCGGCTTTGGGCAGCCCACCGATGATGCGCCGACGCAGGAAACGTGGCGCGGTTGACGGCGGCGAAGACGCGACTGCGACGGCCGCGATCGAACACGACAACCATGTCGATGATATCGCGAGCGATGATGAGGGTGACGCTGCCGGTTGGAACGCGCGTCTCCCCGAGCTCCGCTCGGGCGTTCTCAGGCAGGCGGTTGCGTTCGAGGGCTGGCGCGCGAAAAAGGAGCGGCGGCGATTCGCGAGCCCTGATGTAGTGCATACATTTAAGGCGATGCTATGGTCGGCTGTGCAGCGGCCGTTCGGGTCAGAAAACGACGAATTCATCGACCAAGCATCGAGTTTTGATGACTTTTTGGTCCCAGAGCTCGCGAGCGCGTCGTTAACGGTCGATACATCGTGCCCGATCGGCACAGGCGCATTCTCGGAGGTCTTCATAGGAATCTACGACGGTGACGACGTGATATGTAAGCGGTTTAGGTCGGACGTGCGAGGTCGAGACGTTGAATCATTTTATGTAGACGAATTAGAGAGCGCGCGGGCGTTGAAGACGTGTTCAGGCGTGGCGCCCTTCATCGGAGCGTGCGGGTTGATGCAGTGGCTGATTTGGAAAAACGTGGGAACGATGACGTTGGAAAATGCGTTGGATCTCGGAGACAACGCCCTGGCGATGGTACGGAAGACGTTGAATCGAGAGGAGAGCGACGTGGCGACGCTGCGATTTCTGGCGCGAGAAATGTTTGAGGCCACAGCGAGCGTGCACGGGTTTGAGTTCATCCATCGCGATATCAAGCCGGCGAACGCGATTACTCACAATCGCGTTGACAAGATCAGTGCTACGCATGTATCCCCGCGGGTTATTGTGTCCGATGGAGAGACACATAGAGATGCTTTCCTCGTCGCAGGGACCACCAGTGAACGATTCGATTTCAATCGCTTCCTGTATTTCCTCCACGGTCATTCCCATTCGTTCCGCGGCACTCTTCAAAGCCTTTCCAATCACGCGTCGTCGTCTGTATCGTTTGAAAACCTCGTAAATCGGACCGAAGGGTGATAAAAGTTGTCTCAGATGATTCGCAATTTCATTCGCCGGGAGCGCGCGGGGTCTGATTCGAGCGTTCCCTTGTTCTCCTTGTTCTCCTTGTTCTCCTCCATCCGCGTCGTCGCCACCTTCGTTCGTACCATCCTGACCATTCTCACCTTCGCCGCCGCCGTCGTCGTCAGCTGCAGCGATCTGTACGTCGCCGCCGTCTACGCCTTCATTTTCTTCATCCGCCGCATCCTCGATTTCAACATCCGCGTCGTCCTCCACCGGGCTCTCATTTTGAACATTTTCATCATCATCATCGTCGTCGTCGTCGTTATCCTCATCGCCATCCTCATCGCCATCCTCATCGCCATCCTCATCGCCGTCTTCTTCGACTTCATCGAACCATCGTCCTAAAACCTGTCGAGCGATTTGATCCGAGACCTCCCCCACACCCTCTTCGCCATCCACGACTTCAAACAGTCGACTCTCTCCAGCTACCACTTCATCCAGGCTCTGTAATCCAGACAGGTTCACTCCGGTGATGATATCCTCCCCGGCGTCGTCTTCGCGTTCTGGAATTCTTCGTCGCAACCGTCCCCACTTCGAGTCCACAATTTCGCGATTTTCATCATTCGCCGCTTCAACATTCGTTATCAAAAACGCTCCTTTAATCCAGTGTTCGTAGCCGCACACCCTTCGTAGTTCTGCGCTCATGAGGATGAGTTTCGCCTCCAAGGCGGCGCTAAACGTCGCGTGCGTGCCTAGAATGAATCCAACGCTCACCATTGCCGCGAGTTCTGCTCCGGTGAAGGACGACATGAGCTCACACCTCGCGGGATAGAATGTGTGGTTCGTGTTCGAGCACGGCGATGAAATCCACCGATGGGAACTCTTTGGAGAGTTCGTTGAGCGCTTTGGCGCACGCGTTCAAGTCATTCAACATCAAAGCCCGTGGATTCGCCTCAAACAGGCGAATCGCATCCACGGCGGGGATATTCATACGACGATGTATGTACGCGATCAGCCATGATCAATCATCCTCATCGAGCCCTCGACCTCTTTGGTAACGTTTTGCGTTGTCCAGCAATCAATCACCTCAAGTCCTCGAGTTCACACCCCACGACGACGACGACCGATGACGTACCGTACAGTGCGCCTGGCCAGATTCATCACTCGAGATTCTGTTCACGATTTCCGCGCGTCGGCGCGTCGCGACGAGCATCGCGTCGGCGCGTCGGCGTCTGACGATCGATGTGTCGACTTTTCTCGGAAGTGGCGATTGGTGTCGACACGCGCGCGCGTCGTTGTTACGCCGCGATCGCGCGTTCCGAGCGCGCGGAACGTCGAGGAATGACGAAGAACGTCGCGTGGTGATGCGTTTTGCGACCGCAACGCGCGGATCGATCGAGAATGCGCCCGCGCGGGGATCGATCGGTGGCGCGATGATGCGATGACACTTAAATCGAGACGCCGAACGTCATTGTGAGACGCGCAGAAAGCGGCGGCGTCGGCATCGTCAACAATGCGGCGGAAGAAGAAAGGATCTGGCTTCACGAATAGTAAGAAAAAGAAACTGGACGCGGTATCGAACGCGGCGCGGCGCGATGAGCAAGGACTTCCGGTACGTCGATGGTGAACGAAATCGTGTTGATACTAATCGGTCTTTCTCGGACGACGCAGACGACTGTAGCGAAGGCGAAGCGAACGGTGGGCGATGACGGATCTTCTTGCTGTCTGGAGTGCACGAAGATGCTCGCGCAGGACAAGTTTAAAGACGACTACGTACAGACGTGTGTGGATTGTTGCGATCGTGCAGCGCAGAACTACAAGCGACGGAAACTTGCTCACGCGGCGGCACCTGAGCGCATTGATTCGAAGCGAGTAACGGCCATGAAAGACGATCGCGCGACGGACGAGCGATCGGCGACGTATCCTCCGCATGTACATTTTACTAGAGATACGCAGGTGTTCGATGCAAAGATTTTGTTCCCGATAGGAGCGCCTCTCGATGATGTGCTTGCGTGGTCACAAACGTACGACCGATTAAACCAACGAGAGTACGCTCGCGTCGCGTTCGTTCGAAAATTTCAATTAGAAAAATTCAAACGAAGCCACAAAGGAAAGGGAACGTCTTGGATACACAAATATACTGGTGCGAAGCTCTGTTTGAGCGGCGAGAACGCGGTTAGCTTTCTGCGTCGTGCGGCCAAAGAATTCATATTAACCTCGCCGCGCGAGGCGCAGCCGATCGACGCCGATTTTCAATCGGCGGATGGCCAGTCTGGAACTTTTTTGGAATTCAGGCACCGGCTTACGAAGATATTCGTTCAAGGATTATCCGATTCCACACCTGAACTCGCGTCTCGCATCGTGCGTAAGTATTGGAAGGCGTGTTTGTGTTGGTCTGCCTCTGCGCAAGCAACGGCACCAGCAAGAATGCGCGCTTGGGAAGACTTTTCTGGAGTGGCTTTGCTGAAATTTTTAGGTGGCACCTGTCGCGTCGCGGGACTCATCCCGGATCTTTTGGCAGATCTGTACGTAAGCAAATTCGAAGAAACAGATTACCTGGAGTCCGAGTACAAAGTTTATTCGAGCGCCCGGTTTGTTTGCGTGATTCCACCGCGGGATGTCGGCAATCGCCGCATGCGCGGTGCGGTTTGGAGTGCACTTAAATTTGGTTACCGATGGCTTAAAGATGCTGAAGATTCTAGCGAAGTGCACGTCGCGCCTTTTGAGGGACAGCTGCATACGGTGCAGAATTCGTTCGAGTCGATGGGTGGTGGATCGCATCTCGTCCCTCCCGAGCGTTACTTCGGCGAATGCTACGACAGTCGTATCGTCGAGCACATTCGTTTGGAAGGGTTCGAAGAGGAGTCTCGCTCACGCACAAACTCGTCGTATACGGGTTTGATGATTCAGAACGACAGTGGGCAACGTCGCGTTTCCGGTAATTATACGCTTCTCGTGCACATCGATGCGACTACCAACATCATTTGGAGCACGGACACGCACCTCTATTTCGGTGGCTTTTCTCTCGCCGGCGTCCGCTTCGCGGACATGATGGCTATCGGCGACGACACGTCCATCCAGCAAGTCAAGCGCGACGACAAGCTGGTGTCCGTCTCCAACAGCTTGCTTTCCGGCTCTGCCACCATTCAAGCTTGCGCGGTCAATCTTCGCCGGTACGTGTACCGCGCCGACCCACTGAAGCACCAAGTTGTCATCGACGGCGCCGCCGCCGACGCCACCGCCGTCGCCGACACCAACACGCTTACGGGATCAGAATGGGACGCGACGGACCACCGCCGCAAGTCTTCTGGTATCGAGCACGCTTTGAACGCGATTTGCATCAACCGCGTCCTCGAGGAGAAATTTCCAGCTGCACTCACAGGTCTCGCGCTTTCACCGTCCAAAGTTGAGCGTCTAGCGGACGTGGCAGACGCTGAAGCACGTCTCGCCGCCAAAGTTATATATCTAAAGACTCAGATTGCTGTCGGTGCTTTCGATGTCTCATTGTATTCAAGCGAGGGTCTGGCGAAACACGTAGCGAGTCGCCCACGAAACGTCGTTGGACAATCCATCCGCATCGACAGCGCTGACTTGTTCAAAACGCCGAAGCCGCCGTTCCCGACGTGCAAGGGTGTTTTTTTTCTGCAGCAATGGGCTCCTGACATAATACCGCCACGGAAATTGCGAAAAGAAGTCGATCGTCGACGTCAACAGGAGCACGATTCATAGTGCTCACTTGCGACACTCCGAGCATTTGAGATCTTGATACTCGTTGACGCTTTGCGGCGCCGACCACATCACGTTGGCGAACGGCATCGTCGTCCCGGTCAACTCCATTCATTCATAAACCCGATATATTTGATTTGATACAGTATTTTTGTAATAATACGCCGCCGAGCTCACTCTTCCCGAACGTTTGTTCCTTTTCGATAAGGCAGACGTCGGCGCTCGATCCCGGTCGCCGCACTCGAAGCGTGAGCACGGACACGAAACGCACGCACGTCCCCATCCCATCCGCCCCCACCCCCCCGGTCTCGTTCACATCGCTCCCGATCAACACGCTCTCCCCACTCCGCACCTCGATCAACAGATCCTCCAAATTCTTCGTCCCGCGCGCGCGATCGAATCGACTCGCGTCCACCCCGCGCGCCGTCAACCACCCACCCAACGTCCCCGTCGTCGCCCCCTCGCACGCGAACCGCGTCATGCGTTCATACGTCCGCGGCGTCGCGCCCACGTCCGCCGTCATCGCTCGCGCGTTCCCACGCGCGCGCAAACGCCGCCGACGACGTCGACGCGCCCGCGTCGCCATCAACCACGAAGCATCGCGGCGAAACCTTGACGAATAGTTCGGCGACGTCGACACTGCTACCGGTGATGCGTAGCACGTCAAAAAAATCCGTACTGTACGCGTCGTATGTTGTGGGGGCGGCGATTGATGCTGCCGTCCCCCAACACAGACAGCCTCCCGCCAGAGGCGCGAGCGACGAGGAAATTTCGCTTTCGGACGAACTCGCGAACGCGGCTTCGACGCCTCGCGAAATACGGCCCCGACAACATCTAAACGACTGGCATCTGGGGACGTCGGGCTCGAACACGTCAAGAATGTCTGGTGCAACGCGTCGTAATCGCGATTCGAGCACGACGGCGTCTCGCATCGCATGAATTAGTCCATTGGCCAAACTCACCGCGTCGGAACCGCTGATAATGTCTAACTCGTTGTCGATTCCTTGCACTTCTCGTAACCGCGCGACATCGTTAATCACCGCTAATCGCCCGGCGATGAATACGTTTTCTCCTGTCACCGGCGTACACAACCACTGTATAAACGGCTCAAATTCGGTGACGGATTCGAGGTCCGGCAAGCACGCGCGAGCGATGCTTTCGTGCAGCTCGACTCCATCTGGAATCTCTGGTCCGTCGTATCTTTCCCACGCGTACGACATGCAGTACGTCAGAGGTCGCACGCGCGGTACGTTTCTCGTTCTGAGCTGCACCATGTCGCCACGTCACCGAGTGAAGGCGGCGCGCGCCGCTCGCTTCGACTCGTCTCGTCAATGGTGACGTACATCATAGGGTCGATTCGCGTGTGGCCAATTTACTGCAGTACACCACGAAATGCACAAAATGTCCTGAGTCTTATGGTTTTTAGGTACTCGAGAACGACGACGATGGAGCCACAACGCGACGCGCGGAAACGAAATTGAGTTGCGCATTATCGTTTACACATTGCACGTCTCTAACGAATGACGCACGCGTTCGTGGCTGCGCAGCATCGGCTGCATGTCGACGATTTCCGCGAACCGCTTCTCGAGTGGCTCGATCTCGATTCGTCCCATCGCGAAACGTTCATCAACAATCGCAGTCGGGTGGAGCTTGGACTCGGTCCGGGTTTGTAACGACACAAATGTACGCCCGCATCGCTACTCTCATCGACGTCCTCACGCTCAGCAGTAGTTTTGACGTTGAAGTGTATTCAATCTGCATACCACATGTGGGCATGAAACGCGCCAAAACCCACGATCGCGCGCAAATGCAAGTCTTAAAATACCATCTGCGAATTGTCAACGCGCAAAACTCGACGTCGTCCACGGCGCGCGTCCAAAAGCACCCTGAAACCGGGCGCAAAGGGCAGACGCTAACGGTTTCCTTGTCGCATCCTTTGCACCATGGACGACGCGGTGTCGCTTCCCGACGTCCGACACCGCGTCACAACGCACGCGCGACGTGCGATACGTCTTTTTATGGCATTGCCGACCACCCAACCCGCGTCTGGCGCGTCGTGGAGTGACGAACGCGCGCTCCATCACGAGCATCGTCCCAACGCCGCACCGTCGCGGCGTGATAGCGCATTCACCTGACACACTATGCTAACGCGTCACTCCGCGCGCGCCGACGGTCGCACGCGCGGTCGCGCGCGTCGTGCCGATGCATCGCATATATTCTAGGTCACGTACAGCGAGCGTATCCATTGCCTCGTCGTCATCGCAGCGCTAGTGTCCCGAGTGCGCCGCGGGCGATGCACATGAGGTGAGTTTTTGAGCGTAAATCGCCACGGCGCGCATAGCGCGTGACGCGTCATCGCGCGTTTGAGACGCGTGTCATGTACGTGCAATACGTCTACACATGTTAATGTGCGTTTTGCGTCGTGCTCGCCCGCGTCGCGTCGCGTTGACGGCGCAAACCGAATCAAGACATTTGCGCTGTGTATTTTTCAAACTTTGCGTTCGATACCGTCGACGCGGTCTCGGGGCCTCGCGCGCGCTGTACATGGTGCGTCAACTGTTTCCTATCCATTCGCGACTGACTCGTGTCACTAGACACCGCTTGAGATGGTAGTTTCAGTCGCCATAGCTCCGTGGAGCGCACTCACGTCAGCACCCCCGCACATCATGGCGCGCAAAGTGTCGCGCGCGACGCGGTCGGCAAATGGGCGGCTCGCCCATGATGAACGTCACCGGCGATGGCTTCATCGTCGACGGGACGCACCAGCGCTCGTCCCCGCTGAACGAGTCGATGATGATCGTCAAGACGTGGCGGCGGCGGCGCCGCAACCGCAAAGGTTCCTCCAACCCGCGACACGCCGCACGGCAACCGCGATGCGGTATCCGGCCGCGCGCACGAATCACAAACTCGCTCCCGATGCGATTGGCGTCGAGCAATTCTGCGTGCAGCCGTGCGCTCGTGAGCGCACGATATCGCGGCTCCACGCGGTGGTCCGATATCGCAGCCGGCGGAACCTCGATACGGTACAGCGTCGTCGCGTCGAGGTTGAGAGTTTCATTCATGGAGCGGAGAACGGCAAATGTTCCAAGATGCGCGGCATTCCTCATTCGCAAGCCGAGCGCTTCGCGTTCATATCGCGAGCGATGCGTACGATGCGGCGGTTGCGACGCGGCGATGAGGCCGCCAAGGATCACCGCGCCGCCGACGCCGAGCGTGCGCTTTTGGAGCAACCACTATCCAATCAGCGCGACGACGTACTATTGACCGGATATGATCGCGATGAAACTATGAAACCTAGTTACCCGTACGAGATCTCGTCGCCGACGGGGATGCTCAAGACGTTGACAGAGGGCGAGTTTACCCGGGATTGCTTTTACGCGGCGAACAATGAAAAACCATCGAATTGGTCGCTCGCAGAATTTTGGAAGTTTTTAAAGCACGAGTGCGGCGTATCGATGTCGGGTGTGGATTTGAGTAAAATTAAATGGGTATGCATCGAACTGTGTTGCGGCTATGGGAACATGTCGCTCGCCATGGCTGAGAGATTTGAAGACGTCGTCGTTATTGCGATTGATCTCAACGAAAAGTTGCTCTCTCGACGCGCCGCGGCGCACAAAAGAGTCAAGTTTCTTCAAGTGGATATTCTTCGCGCGATGCAAGTGACGCGCCTTAAAACACTGCTCGCTGGTCGCTTGCTGCACGTGCATTCGTCGCCGACGTGCAAGAATTACTCGAAATCGAAACGGCCATATCGAGCGAGACTCCTCGACGAGGGCCGAGCCGACGTCGTCGCGATGGAATACCTCGAAGCCGACATCTTCGTGCAAACCAACATGGACATTATACGCACGCTCGACCCCGTGACGGCGTCGGTCGAAAATCCAAACAACGATACCGATGGGTTGGGGTCGCGGCGCGATTTACTCGTAGACGTCTACGGCGCGCTCGCGTGGCTCGCGAAATGGACGCTTTCGTACTGTCACTTTAACAAAGGGCTCGTGCGCAAAGATACGGATTTCTACGTGACGCGCAATTTGCA